AGCCCGAAAGGGGAACAGAGTCGTGTGACAGACACAGTGATGACGCTGGTATGTGTTTGCAGCACACAAGCCACGGTTAAGACAGCTGACTCCACTGTGATGTGACCCCCTCTCTCTCTCTCTCTCTCTCTCTCTCTCTCTCTCTCGCGCACGCACGCACGCGCACACACAATGCGCAAAACTTCGCATTTGAACAGTCAGTAACAAATACTTAAACTAATAACAAAACAGTAGCTGATTCAGAAGCGCCAGATTGTCATAGCAAAGTCAGAATTACCTCCTCTCCTAGGTTCACGAAACGGTCGTCCATAAAATGCATTGCTGTTCTGTTGTAAGTAATCTTAAAGATTCCTAAATGCATCTACTTCTGGAAGGCCAAATAAAGTGCTTTTGCTTTCGCCTAGAAACACACAGCGTCTCCCTGACATGGCTGCTTCAACACTAACTGCGGTTACTGAACCCACGCCTTCTTTCTTTGCGTGCACATTTGGGCGGCATTATGCAAATATTTCCACATAGTGAGGTAGATATGTGGGGGCGTGTTAGAACGAGCCGATTTAGGGGGGCGTGGCAGAGTCTTAACGTTGATAAAGAATATCTCTTTGGTTTTGAGACTTTAGTCTTTGCAACTTCCGGGATCTTATCTATGCACAAACCGCTTGTAACACTCCAAAGAGAAAGGAAAACTTGAAATCGCATCATATGACCCCTTTAAGAACTGTTCACTGAAGGGATCTTTGAGGAACCAACTATGGTTCTTCAATGGCATCACTGTCAAAAAAAAAACTGTTTTGGAACCTTTATTTATTTTTAAGAGTGTAGGGTGTCCTGGTCAATTTCTAACCTTTATATAATGTGTTTTTTCTGGATTTTTTGGTTGATATTCTGTCTCTATCCGTTAAAATAAACCTACCATAAACATTACAGACCCTTCATTTCTTTGTAAGTGGGAAAACTTACAAAATCAGCAGGGGATCAAATAAATATTTTCCCCACTGTATAAACTCAAGGTCTAGGTATCTCTCCTGAACAAGTCGCATGATTTGAGGAATCATAAACGTCTGCAATACAAACAGTGTGAAAGTTACATTTTGAGGTTCAATTTACCATACCAGTTCACAAGTAAATCCCATACACACCAAGAACAATAACTTCAATAATAACTATATTAGCATCACACTAACGCACAATAATGCTCTGTTTATTATACATCTAAGCTGTAATTACATCTTCTACTGCCTTAAATGCTGAGTTCTTGAAAGCCAGCTGGATTCTGATTGGCCTTTATTGTTCATCTGCTGGAATAAAACATTCTGTAAGTGATTCCCATGATATTGTTCCTCTGAGTCGTTATTGTTATAGCCATGGTTTGGACTTTCAATGAATTAGAACGACAATTAAAACTTTACAGTGAAAGTTGTCTTTGGTGTGAATGAGCATTAACTCATAAGGTATAACAACACTCAAAGAGTAGTTTATTCCATTATTAGTTAACTAAATGCATCGTAATATGCCAAACATAAGTAGCCATAACTTTTTTTTTTCCCAAGCTGACTTTGTTTTTGAGGCTTGATAGAGATTGTATGAAGGAAAATAATTGGTACATAATGTTTCCCAAATGAGGTGTCTGGTCTAGCCCATAACTCTGATATTACTTAGTAGAAAAACACAAATTAATCTCTCAGCCACAATATCTGACCCTCTGTCAACACGGCAACAAGAATCTGTTCTCAACGGTACCTTCTGACCACAAGGGGGCCAAATGGTCACACTAAAGCAGAGGATAGTCTTAAAACAGTGCCAATGGAGAGAGGCGCAGAAATGAAGGAATTCATTTTGATTTAATGGTAGGCTTCAGTTACACATGTGTAGAGTTATGGAGCGCAGGAGGTGAGCTGGCACAATAATGTTACTATGAAAACGCTCCTGCTAGGTACAGCGTGCTTTAACATACAAGCAGCGCAACCACATGTTCGGCTGTGTGCACTTATGCACATGAGTGTGTGTGCTTAAATATGGATTAGCCGCTTAACATACTGAACACAAATGTGTATTAGACAACAAAGTGATATGGCAATGACGCTTTGTGTCACTTTTGATTTCAGTAGCCAGAAATGTGACTGTGACCTGCAATTTGCATAAGAGGTGGAATTTAAATTATTTATTAACCATGGTTTCCTCCTAACCAGAGTTAGAGTAGATTTTGTGCCCATAATAAAACCACTGTAACAATTCAAAAAACAGCAGAAATAAGTGTTTGATCCCACACCATCATGATGTTTACAGTAGAAACAATAACTAGCGACTAGATTGTTCGCCAC